TAATTGACATCACTGAAAAAAGTAACAACTATGGAATAAACTGGAAATAATTTTTTAAATTAATAAATAATCATTCTTCCTCCCAAGCTGTTGGGCCCAGATGTCCTCACGGGGGTAGCTTGGTGTTGGGAATCAGGGTGCAGAGTATTAACAGCCCAGTATACTGTGTATTTTTACCCAATTAAATTCTATCTAGTGTACAACAGCTATATAAAAGCAAAACATAAAAGAAAGCAATGATTCATTTACATAAACATTTTGAACATTTTACATGATTCATTTACATAAACATTTTGAACATTTATATAAAGTTCAAAAATTAGAAAGATTATATATCATTTAGAAATGAGTACATAGGCATTTATTGAAATTTATTTGGGAGCTTTACAGTTAATTTTGTGAAAGTCCAACATTTTTTGAAAATAATGTATATTTCTTTTGTTTTGGTTGAAGGGTTTTATATACATATATAAATGTGACATATAAATATATATGCAAATATAAATACAGTAAACATATGTATCTATGCACACAATGCATCAATGTTGCTAATTTGTTTAATCTGGGAGAGACTGCCATTAAAAAAAATTCCCACCATTACAGATTTGTCAGTTTTACCTTTTAATTCTTTATTATTGCTTCAAAATTTCCAGACCATGCAATTAGTTACATACATGTTCATGATTTAATGTGTTCCTAGATTTTTCTTTGAAATGCAGTAAGATGCCCCACAAATGTCCTTGTTAATGCTACTCAAAGAATACTTTCGATAATTTTCTACACAAAGTTTTTTGTTGTTTTTTAGTATTTGCCTGGTACGTCTTTTCCTATCCCTTTATTTTCTATATTTTAGTTCTTTCATTTTAACTGTTTTTTTAATATGCTTGCTTTTAATTGTCTTAGTAATAATGGAGTGGCCACCAAGTGATAGGTAGCTATGTACTTGGATTGGGTAAGAGGTGGTTAAATTATAATATTATCTAATAATCTAGCCTGGACCATCAGCAAATTTCATTTTGAGGCTGTTCCAGGTAATTATCTCTCTGGGTCCCAAAGCATCTTCACTTAAAATCAGGATTTGTTGGTAGAAGGCAAGCTACTTTATTTTTCTATCCTTTTCACTTATCAAAGTAGATTAAAGCACCAGCTTTTTATATTAGAAAATTAATCATTTTTAGGTTAAAAATAGAACAGATGCTATCATTTATACTACTTTAAGTGTAATTTCTAACTTGTGAGCATTGAGTTTTTTTCCTCCATTTTCTTACCAAAAGCCTCAAGCAAAATTTTCACTTTTTGTGGGCTGGTAACTTCATAATGAAAGGGTTTACTAGAATTGGAGAAAGTGATTCAATTAGAAGAGGGGGAAGTGGATTAAATTAGAGTTGTGACTAGATTCAGGGTGGGGCTGACTGAATTAGAATTTTGATGGTATGTATAGAGCCTAACAATCACATGATTTTCATTTAGAGATTCTTTCCTGAAAAGAAATCATCTTTCTGTGTCTTGGCATATCTTCACTGCAAATCTGAATTTCAGACTAGCAGAATGTTAATTATTTTTTTTCCTTTAAAATATGAAAGAGATTAAGACGATAACTTTTTACATAAAAATGTGACTTTCTCCTGTTAAAACTCATTCATTCATTCACTCATTCACTCATTTGAAAATCATTATGGGCACCTATTGGTGCCAGGCACTGTCTCAGATGCTTGGCTTACATCACTGGGCAATACAAAGATTCTTGCATTTGTAGAATTTATATTCTTTATGGGACAGAGAAAGAAAGAATAAAACAAATTTATATAGGATTGAATAAGGATCATACTTTACAGGATCACGGATGATATGTGCTACACAAAAAAAGAAAAGTAGAACAGGTTAAGGTAGAAAAGGAGTGCAGGAGGTTGGGGACCAAGGTAGAGGATGGCTGAAACTTTAAATAGGGCTGTCATGGCTGGTTGACCTGATTTGAACAAAGACTTGAGTAAGACAAGTAAGAGTATTCTTGGCTGAGGAAATGGCTAGTGCAAAGGCCCTAAGACAGGAGCTATGTTCAGACAACACCAAGAGAGGCACAAGCAACACAGGAAGTCAACTAGGTAGGGGAGAGTCTTGTATGTTAGTGTGAGTCCTTTCACTTTTACTGTAAGGGGAATGGGGAGCCAATGCCTCCCCACTGTCTGACTCTATCCCCTTTTCTCCCAATCCCATTCAATAATATTATTAATTTAAAAGAATTATTGCCAGTTTGATGCTGTAATGTGGTAATTCATTGTTAGTTTACTTTCATTTTCATAATAAGGAGGTTGAGTGTCTTTTATGTTTGTTGTCTATTTGGAATTGCTGTTTCTGGATGGCTTCTTTATATTCTTTGCCTTTTTTTACTGGGTTGTATTTATGTGTATTACTATTAGTAATAGTACTAGTAGTAGTAAAGTTTTGTATGTTATAGGCATAACAGAATTTACCTGCTAATTGAATACTTATCTTTTGACTTAATTTGGGGCATCTTCTGCCATAAAATTAAATTTTTATATAGATAAAATTTTTAAGTTATTTCTCTTATAGCTCTTAGGTGTCCTGCCTTGATCAAAAGGTCTTTACAAAAAAACCCTAGGTTGTACAAGTAGTCTCTTAAATTTCCTTTCTAAATTTTTATAGTTTTGTTATCTTTTGGATGTTTAATTCAACTGGATATAGTGTTTGTATAAGCACTGAAGCTGGAATTCCTACATCCTGCCATAAGAATAATCAGTTTTGTAATTACAGCTATTATATAAAGCATCCTTTTTACATTGATTAAAATAGTAACATTGTCATATTAAAATGAAGGAGCATTTTTTTTGTCAGTTGCCTAATGATTTATTCATTCTCTTTTGTGAAGCTTACATTGTAGGCATGTTTAGGCTAAATTTTCTTTTTCTTCTTTTCCTTTTTGAAGGAGCATTTTTTAAGGCTAAGAAATACTACACCATATCCAAAAGCTGGTAAGAATGATCTGAAAGGGATGGATTCATAGATAATGAAAGATAGTAAATATAGCAGGACACTAGTTACTAAGGAAGCTAGAGAACTTGGAATCCAGAGAACAAAGGAGAGGGTTTGGGGTCACCACATATGGAAAACTGAGGGTATGGGCAAACTCAAAGGCAGCTTGGTAGATTTGCCTGGGGAAGATAAGTAGTCCTTGTTTAAGAGCTGCTTTTCCCAGAGAAGTCAGAACATCATCGACTCCTGGGAAAGACGGTCAGGAGGGAAAAGTGGTTGGAAGAGGTGTGTAGATTTGAGTGAAGGGGAATGTGGGAAATCATATTATTGCAGAGTGGAAATAAAAAATTAAGAGTATAAGAGGATTAGCAGGAGAATTAAGAGCTCAAATAGATTTTTTGTATTAATGGGTTTAAAATGAGAATTCTTGGGAGGTTATATAAGATTTTTGCCAGCAAAGGCAGCTGATAGGATGAATTTTAAGTTTTTAATAAACTTAATTTTAGTTTCTTTTTCTAATATTTTCAAAGTAATTTTCTTATTAGTACATTCAAATCACTTACATAAACTTTCTACTTAATACTTATTGACACTTTAATTTTATTATTTCTTATTAATACTTTTAGACCATTAAGTCAAAGCTTTAAATCTTGCAGACTGATTATTTGTTGCTATTAATGAAATTACAGGAGTGGTTATTTAATCATGGCTGGTTATCAAAAGATTAGGTGGTGGGCTAGATGTTAAATGAGTCAGAGTCATTAATTCAGAGCTGATAAAGGCCACTGGAACAATAACCAAGGGTATTTTCTGTAATGGTGTCAGCACCTTGTCATTATTACTTCATTTCTCCACTTCATAGTGCAACAATCATTCATTCATTCAACAAATACTTACTCAGCACCTATTATGTGCCATGCACTGTTCTATATGCGGAGAATATACAGGTGAACAAGAGACAAGGTTCCTGTTTTCCTGGAACTTATGTTCTAATACAGGAAGATAGACAATAATAATAAAATAATATTAATAATAACAGCTAACATTTAGCAAGTATTGTTTGTTGAGACAGTTTTAAGCACTTTATAAGTATTCATTTGATTCTTACATCATTGTAAGGTAGAGACTAGAATTATCTTCATTCTGTACATGAGGAAACTGAGGGCACAGAAAAGGAAAATAACCTGCCTAAGGGCACAGAGCTAGCAGAGGGCAGAGCTGGAATTTCAAACCAAGAGAGTCAGGGTGTAGAGCTCTTTCTCTTAATGACTTTGCTATGCTTCCTCTCAGACAAGAAAAATGGCAGTAAACAATGAACACAGTAAGTTCAGGATTGTTTAGTACTATGAAAAAAATAATAAAGGGCGATGCAATGGTATTTTTGTGTTGGAGGTGAAAATGTAGATATGAGGGAAAAACTCATGAAGGTGACATCTGAGCTGAGACCTGAAGGATAGTGATCTGTTATCATGATACACAGGCAGCAGAGCAAGGACCGCACAGTGGAATCTTTCCTTATTTGTGAAACATAAATGCCCAGCTGGCTGTAGCTACTAAGGCTTAGTATGTAAGAGTGATTGATTGTAAGTGAAGTCAGAGATAGTCAGGAACAAGAGCCCATGAGGCCTCTGGTCACATTAATGAATTTGATTTTTTATTCTAAAATCACTAGATTTTTATGCAGAGAAGCAACATCACCTGATTCGTAACTTTGAAAGACAAGTCTCACTGCTATATTGACTTTAGGACAAAAGTGGAAGCGGGAACACCTCCCCTCCCACTAGAACTTAGGCTTCTTTAAAAATAAAACGTTTAACCAACAATAGAAATACAACCTTTGCTTTGAAGACTAATATTTTTGCAGGAATGGTACCTTTATAAAGATCGTGGTTGCCCCCGTATATATTTGTTCTTTCTTCAAATCCAATTAAATGAAAGTACTAGTTATTCAGCCCAACTCTAGGCTCGCTGGGTCTAGCTCAACAGAAACGAGGCAGGAGCCGGTGGATCTCTTTCAGTTGGGTGCAATCCTTTACTACGCTCTCTGTCGCTGGTCGGGGATGTGGAGTCGGCTAACCGGAGCTTTCTGTCCACGAAAGGGTCCAGGAGGGGGTGGGAGAAGGATAAGACGGAAGAGACCTTTAGGTACACAACCATGCTCAGAGACTTCTCTAAAGCACTGACTTCAAAAGCCCGGCCTCTCGAACGTCTAGGCTCGGACCCAACCGTCGTCACGCCAACGTACACCTCGGCTTCCGTGGATTGGTGGCTGCCTCCGCCTATGACATGCGTTGGAAGAGCCCGGGTTTACTTCCGTGTCTTGGGCTTCGGCGCAGGGGTTTTTGGGAGTCGCGAGTCGTCGTGGTGTCTGTGTCAAGTGCGGAGGTCGCTCGGTGGGACCTCGGCCAACGTGAGTGACAGGAGGCTGGCGGATTGTCTTCCTTGTCCATGTGGGGCGGAAAGGGCGGTGGGTTCGTGGTTGGCGGCGAGGGAGCTCGGGAGCTGCGGGCAGCGGCGGAGCCCGGTGGCTGTCGGGCGCAGCGTCGCGGGAAGGCAGCTGTGCGGGCGGCTAAGCGGGGTTCACCGGCCTCGCCCCACAACGGCCATCTGAATTTCTTCTTTGGAGAACTGCGTGGGCCGCGGGCGGGGTAGGAGGGGGTGGCGGGCCGGACCTTCGCGGGCTGCTGGCGGCGGCCGGCGTGGGAGCGGAGCGTCCGGGGTTGCCCCGCTCTGCGCTCGTTCGGCGGCCGGCCTGTGTCTGCAGTCCAGGCCGGAAAGGAACTGGAGAGGCGGCTTTCACGCCCACGTGATGCCGTCCTACCCCGCGGCTCCGCAGGGCTCGGAGTGGAGGGAGGACCGGTCACCGCTCTTTGGAACCCCACGCCGGCTCGTGTTAGTCCGCAGGAATCAGCGTGCGGGCTGCCGACTGCTTTCCAGGGGCTGATGGAAGTTCGCTCCGATATTGTTCCTTTTGCTTGGCTTCATCGCTCCGCTGAGTGTTGTGGGTGGTGGTGGTGGCGGGGAGGGAATGAAAAGATTTCTCTTAAGACCGATAAAAGCTATATCAGATATTAACAGCCGCCACTCGGTAATATAATCGGTTTATTTTTATCCAAACTCTGTCTTTGCATTTCACAAAATGGAAACATTAGTTGAGGCACTGCTGCTTGTCCAATACAAATGAATTAAAATTGCTGAGCTGGACAAATGCACCGGGACTGGAAGACTGAAATGAATACGCACCGTTCTTAGTCAATTTCTCTAAATACAGTTCAGTTGGGGTTGTTCTGTGTATATTAAACATAGAAAGAAAACACGTAAATAAGCAAGCCCAAATATTTGCGCTCTTTGTCCAAAAACTATTTTTCTTCTTCTGTGGGTCAGGCCAAGTGCCAATCAAAGTTGTTTTTCAAGCCTCGTTTCCCTGCAGTAGGGCTGCCTTTTTTTTTTTCTTTCCTATTTGAGAGCCTGAAGAAAGCAAAGAGATTGCAGATTTGAAGTTGATCGAACAGTTAAATGTGCCTTAAAGTGTGTTTATTGGGTATATTTTTCTTGAAATTGTTTTTATTAAATGTGTATGTTGAGTATGTGTAGTTATTTTTTTCCATAAACTCTGGGATCAAATTACAGTTGATACTTGCTCAGCTGATTGTAGGGCAGCTTATGAGAAATGTAATGGATCAGAAGGGCAGATCAGCTTAGTTGAATGTTAACTTCCGGGTCAGATGTCTGTCTCTTGAACTCAGCTTTTTAAAAAATAATGATTACTATTATTTCCTAACTTTAAAAGTGATTAAGTTATATATTTAACATGGAGAGTGTTGAGATGTTTGCTTAAAGTCAAGCCTGATAAAGTAACAGCTAGGTTTCTTTTTTTTAACTGAATAAAGAAAAAAAGAATTATATTGACTTTTTTTTTTTAATGTCTCTGGCAATTCGGTAGGCCAGTGTTTGGAGGTGATATTAGGCTTCAAAATCTATTTTGTCTTAGTTTTGAGATAACCATGGTTATGGATCCATCATATTTTGCTAGCTTTCTTTATATCTCTTAGCTTTTAAGAAACTGTTTATATTCACCTAGAAAGAACATCCTCATTTCTACCATTATTGAAAGAAAGGTATATGGAAAATGGATATTCACCATTTTCATATTTTATAATTGCTATGCACACCTCTGCCAGTATTCCAGTTTTTAGTTACTCCAGGGTATTTAACATTGATTCACACAGTAGCATGAAATAATTATTTTAGGTGAGAATGGGATTATTTGAGCCAGGTATGACATGACTTGTCAACATTTGTAGCTTTTTAAGAGTGCCATTCTTAAGTGCTCTTAAAAGATACCAAGTGTTTAGCGGTTTTAAATTCTTCATTCTAAAAGTAGCATGTTAGAGTTTTTTTCTAATAAAAATTTTTTCTCGTATTTCCTTTTTGTTAGAAAGTATGTAACTCTAAAATTCTTCTATAACTCCCAAAATGCGATTCTGTGAATTTATCTGTGTTTTTCATTTAACAAACTGTTCAGTAATAACCAAATGAGTCAGAGCATTTTGAATTTTAGCTCAGTGTAGTTCATAAATGGAAGAATGAAACTCATGCATACCCACTGTGAATTACTCTTTGCTGTTATAATCTTCATTAATGATAGGGGAAGAGTCACACCTTTATATGAGGCATAAAACCTTTTTCTCTAAGTGGCTTAATTTGTTGACTTTGGGGAGAACTTCAAAAGGAACTAATTCACCTTCAAATGAAAAATTTAGTTTAACTCAATATGTGAAAATTGAATTGTATATTGTATGAGAATCACATTTATTCCTAGAAGTGCCCTGACAATTTTGATTCAGTGTCTGCCAAAATAAAGAGATGTGGGGAATTCATATATAAAGTATAAAAATCTAAAGTATATGCCTTGATTGTTTATAGTTCATGATTCGTAGTCAAGACAGAAACAGTAGGCACAACAGAAACAGTTTCTGTGATACTTAGCGCTCTTGCATTGTTTCCTATGTAAGAAATTGTTCACCATGAGAACTTGTTCGTTGTGTTTCAGAAGGTTGAAAACTGTTGAGAGTTGAACTTGATTAATGATTGTGCATGGAGTCCCCTATACAGAATCTTATTGTTGTTAACAACCATTTAATTAATAAATATGACAGGTGCCCTCTCAGCACCACTCTTGTGCTGTCTCGCCTTGAGTCCCCTGGCTGGTCCTTTCAGGCCTTCGATGAATCATCACGTCTCTTCCCTCATCTGCGGGTCAGAGACAGGGAAGGGACGGACAAAGAGACTTCTTAAACTATTGGATATACCTGATTTGGTAATCTTAAATCAGTAAAAAGAATGGAGAGGTAAACTGTATAGGGGAACAAATGAACAAAACTGTCCTCAGATCTGTAACTCCTAGTAAGCCCAACTGCTGTTACCACTGAAATAATTCAATAACATTTTTAATAAAAGAGGAAATGCTTCTATTTACTTTGGAAAAGTTAATGAGTTTTGAAGTGGAATACATTTTACTTGAAGAAATTCCAGTGAAAACTAGATGCATTTCAAAGTGTAGTGCCAAACTGCATTAAGAAAGGTAAGTAACTGCCCACTTACCTCTGAAACAAGAGGTAGCACATTACACACATTACAGTGTCCTTTGAGTATTGAGCAGCTGGGAGATAATGGAGTGAAGAAAACCTGCATTATTAACTTAATTTTAAAAATTATTAGTATGTTTAGGTGGCTCTAGTGATATAGCTTTGTTGGCTCTTGCACTTTTCCAGTTTGCTTATATAGTCACTTACTGTGATATTTTCATGGTTTCAGAAGAGAAGACACTGAAAATAAAGTGGGAAATATTCGTTGAACCATATGAACCTCATTTTTATAGTCAAAATTGTCAGTTAATAGAGAATTTATATGGTTCAATCAGTAGAATGGAATTCTTTTGACTTGAGTTACTTAGCTATATTCTCCTTGGTTAATTAGATTTCTTATATACATATTTTTTATTTCAGAAAGCAGTTTTTTACTTAATTTGGTATTAAATGAACTAAGCAGAGATCAAATAGTTAATTTATGAGAGCAAACCATTATGCACTGATTTTCAAGCTGCTTTTAATAGAAACTTAAACTTTCAGTGTCTAAAAATGCTTGAGTTGGATTACATTTTTAAGTACATAGTAAATTATTTTAAATTATAGTTTAAAAATACCCAAAATGTTTTACCAAACTTTAACAAATTGTTTAAAAAGTTATTTTTTGTTACAATATTATTGTTCAGGCCTTGAATTAAAACTTGTTCTTCTAGCTTTGTACATATATTTGAACTTTTTTGTTTATATGGCATTGATGAGAAAGATCATCATTGATTTTGAAGGGCCTGACCTTTAAAAAAAATTCTTCTCTGTACATCTATATATAGGTATTCAAGTTAGTTTTTTACTTGCAAGAAAACAAATTTATTGTTATTAGTAATTATTACTTTGTAACTAAAATATTCTGCTGCTTCCACCCCTACCAAAACTTCTAAAACATTACTGCTAATGCAGTGATACTGGAAACCACCAGATTGTGCTCATAGTGAGGCTTTTGATGGGTCTTTCATTTTGGGGCAAGTGAGTTAAATTCCTTGAAGCCTAGTTTTTTTCTGTAAATTGCAGATAATTTCTACCTATAGGTTGATGCATAGCTCTTGTAATGTGTATTCAAGTACTTTGTAAACTATAAAATACAACTATGTATAAGAAAAAGACAGGCCTGTTAATTTTCTCTTTTCCCAGAGTACCTTCATTCTTTGTATGTTGTGGCAATATATTTCAATACATACTGAGTAATTTGTTTAGTCTTAATTTTTTTGTCCTTTTAAATTATTGCCTATAAATGAGAGGTGAAGATATTAAGCTTTTAGTTAGGACTATCAACACACTGATTTTTGGTTTGCATGAGTTTTGTATCTACCCCATCCCCTCTTAAATAGTAATTCAGTGTGTTGCTTTGGGTTTTTCCAATAATTAAATAAAATGAAATTTCCTTTTGGACACTTTAGCAGATAAAGGAAATTAGTATTTGGTTTGAAAGATGAAGAGTTAAGGATGAGTGTACTTAATAGAAACTGGTGCAAATCTGGATAAAACGAAGAATTTTAAGTTATTTTAACTTAGGAGGAGAATTATGGGAGTAGTAGTCTCTTACTCTTTTCTCCCTATTTATCCTTATCTTTTTTTCTCTTTTGAAGGGATTGGGTTATAAATCAAGTTGGTCTAGGCCTTCCCATTCTCTGTTGATTCAACCAGAAAATTTAAGTGGCATGGCTTCTGTCATACAACTAGTAGGAAGTCCATTTAATTCTTAGTACTGCCTCTGTAATAAACAGAACTGTATTTTAATTGTCCCCTGCAGTATTGAAGCTGCCAGGGA